ACAGACAGATGTGTCACGAGTTACTGCTGACAGTGCCGACATCCAGACACGCTAGCTCATGAGCTCATTCACTGGCAATCTCCACTGAGACCTTTTCAATTACTACCTAAGCTACTGTCAAACAGCAGTTGGATATGTGCTTGACCAGCTCGTTAATCTTGACTGTCAGACTTGATTCTAACCACTGCCGCCTTACCAGAATCTCATTTACCTGCTGTGCCCTCCATAAAAATATTTGCAAGAGCTAGAAGTAGGCAAAAGGCTGGTGATGGAATACCACAGTCAAAGAACAAATACAGTAACACTCATCTCTTTTAAGACAGTTTGTATATATAGGGGTATGTATTTAGAAGAAGAATTCTCTCCAGCTAGACAAATATCTGTCTCCTAATTATGAGGATCTGTACCACAGAGTCTTCCCTTCGTTACATATTTTAGTGCTGGTAAGTGTAGGTTATGTCACATACTTGGCAACAGGGACTTTCTGGTTGAGGAGGCATATTCACTTTACTGCATTAAATTCTGCTCAGAATTTGATTGATTCAGTTTGCGAATCATACCTATGCTCTCAGAATTATTGCCACACGGTTATGACATGAGAAAACCCTGAGAGAACATCAGGTGAGTGGTAATCAGCCCGAAGTAGCAGAATGGAAGGGCAGCTTAGTATTTGAGGCTTGGATAAGTTAGGACATGGAAGGCAGAACTAGAGCATTCATTTTTGCCATTGGTCTTTCTGGAGATAAGACTCTTACCCCCAGTCCTGCACTGTCAGAGTTTCCCCAGGCTGATGTAGAGATGGCTCTACAGAATTTATTCCTTTTGTTCCCATGGCTTTGCATGGATGTTTTCCACAAAAAGTTTTCCACAGATGTCTCCTACAGAACACAAACAGGTCAAATAACTCTAACTTGGTCCACTTGGGATCATGTGGAACGATGCCTAGGGAGCATGCTTGCCAAGTACAGAGCTTCCACTGTGGCTCAGGTCCAGGCTCGGTCTGATCAGTAACATTATGCCATCGCCAAATTCTTCGAAGCTGTTCTTGCTGAGCCAAGATAGTTTACAACAAAATACTGGAGGCTAGAAAAAGCCCAAATAAAAGGGGAAAAATATACACCAAACTATGAAAGTGATTGCCTATAAACATTTGGGTTCCTATACAAAGGAGCACTAATAACAGAAAGGGGGCATGAAGTAATTAGCAAAAGGGCCTTTGGGCTGTCCAAAATAGGTTCATTCAAAAATGTGCATTTCTGATACCTGACCTTGCATAAACTTGCCAAACTAAAACTACCCCCTCATTTCTTTATATATTTTCACCACCACCACCTTCAGTCAGGGTGACTTTAAACCACTTCTTAATTTTTGTCAACGCGATGAAGATTTTGTTATTAGTAGCTACCATACAAGGAGGTTTACAGCTTTGTCAAGCTACAGACTCTGCTGCTTATAGCTGCTGCTCTTTCCAAATGCAACCTATGTAAGTGCTGAGAGATAGTAGGGAGGTTAACCAATGAAACTGGAGCATGTAACCAGCTGTCTCTCCCTCTCTCTTCACGTCCCCCCCCCTTTTTTTTTTCTCCTTTTGTAGAGATATCCAGGTATTACTCTAGTCAGCATTACAAGCCTTGCAATGCTCAGTGGAGCTAAGCCTAAACACATTTAAAAATCTAACTCAATGTGTTATGACAAACAAGGCTCATGTTAAGGAAAGAAACAAAAGAATAGCTAAACAAAAGAGGCAGCAAATTCCACACTTGTATGCAGAGATGGGACAATTAAAAAAAAAAGAAAAGAAATAAGCTCTTAATGATGACACTAAAAAAAACATATAAAATAAGAGAAATGAAAGTAATTGAAAATCAGCATTATGTGGATTTGAATAGTTCAGGGCCTACCACAAGCTATGGATATTATGGATATTAATATTATGAATATTAAGTCTTGCCAGAAATCTGGCACTTCAGTGGGTCGACTCAACACCACTCAACCAGGCATTTCCATACCGTGTTCCATCTCACGGTATCAACATATTTTTTAAGTTCTAGGTATAAAATAAAGCTGCAATGAAAACTTTTTCATTTTTCCTTTCCCTATTTCTCTTTCCTTCATCCATCTCAATAGGCGGTGGAACTTCTGTGTCACCAAGAAGACGTTATCAGGCCTAATCCTAGTTCTGCTTAAACCCACGATTGACTTCCATGGGAACTCACAAAAAGCAACCAGTACCAGGGTGCACAAGGTAGGCACTGGTTCATGTGGAAACTTGCTGAAAGAAGCAAGCTTAGAAAGCTTGAGCATAAGTTGAGGGAAGGAATGTGAACAAGATTGACATTTGGAATTTGGGAAAGTGTAGGTGGTATAGGAGAGTAAATGTGCACGGTAAAAATATATAAAAATCATGAGTCCGTACCGAAACCACCTACATCATGTGGTGGTGTAAGATGTTGATCTTTTATCTATCTCTTCAGTCACACACTGAGTTGAAAGTTTTTTTCTCTTTGCCCCCTAGACGCAGATTTTCAGAAGTTCTGTACCTACAGATATAGATCCAGTTACAGTTTCAAAGCTTCTGTGTGACTTTAAACACCTGTCACTGAAAAAGAGCAACCTTGCTAATATACTTGCCCATTCTCTATGCAAGCTCTCTTCCAGAAAATGCTCCGTACACTGCCTCTTGGGACCTGGAGTGCACCTGCAGGCTGGGATTGCCCTGACCCACCACTCGTAAAGCTCCCTGGACCCAAGAGGTCAGCCCTGTGCCCCAGACCCGCTCCAGAGCAACCTCTCAGCCAACTCCATCCCTGATGCTGTGATGTCCCAGTCTCCGGCCCTCCTGCCTTGCCAAGTGGACCTGGGTTGACACCAGGCCAGACTCACCACCTCACCTGGGCTGATGGCCACCAGACAGCAGGCAGATCCTGCCACTGTCACCACCCAGGTCCGTGGGACCACATCCTGTCCCCACAGGAAATGTCCAGTAGGTGCTGGGGTCTCCCTGACTCCTGGTCTCACCTGGAGCAGCCCCACTCTGTCTGCTTCAACAGTGCCCCTAAAAAGGCGACAAGGCTGGAATGAGCCGTAAACAACAGGATGTTACTATTTGTTTATCTAAGTGCAATTAATCAGCACCACATCTGCATCCACCCTCACTTTCAAACACTGTTATTTTTCCCAGTAAGTCACTGAGCACAGGCAACACCACAGACTTGGACACAGATACATTGACATGCACAAGGAACAAGCAGTAAGAGAACTGGAAAAAACCTTAGAGAAGAAACCAGCAGTACAACCATAATTTATCATTTTTCGTGTACCAGTGGCGAAGCTGCCTCACCACAAGCTTCTGGAGACTGACTAGACCTTGGCGACTCCGCAGCAGCGCCTGGGTGAAGCCGAAGAGCTTACTGACCCCCCTCCCCTCCAGCCCCGGCCTGCGCTCCCGCCCCGGCCCGCCCGGGCTCGCGGCCCCACAGGCGCCGCAGGCACCTGCCCGGGAGGGAGTCGCGTCCCCCTCCCCCACACCGCGCCCGCCGCCCCCT